AACTCTTTATTATCTGGGGTGTAAAATTCCAAAGTTTATTGAAATTCATCGGGAAGAATGCTTAAATTTCCATAATTATTTGTTAGGGAAGATGCAACCACCAGCTCCCTCCCCATGGCTCTGTCTGTTGTGCGGGATTTGCATAATACTTGCATAGTTTTGTTCGAATTCAGTGCTACCATTTCACATACAACTAGTATATACAAATCAAATAAAAAGTCATAATCTCATACAAATGGCGATAAAATAAACACCACTAAGTCTAATATTTCAAAGGTTAAAACTACACGCGTGCTATTAACCCTAAAGAGCAACTGGGTTAATATTTGAGAGGATCAAGCGATTTGATTCAAACTCATATATAGTATGATTAAGAACAGTAGAAGAGGCTTAGAATCTAGTCCCACATATTTTGTCTTGTCCACTATTAATCTCGTAATTGGGTATAAAATATTGTATGATCCTGTAAATCTGTAATAGAGAATTTAGACCAAAGTATATTGCCATGTTTACTTTGTAATATAGAGTATGATTCACGCTATCACCCATGAAATATTTTTACATGTATGGTGTACTTAAAGAGATTATTTGATACCTATAATTTTCACACGCAAATAATCCTACATTGAATTATGTCAATGTTCAACTTAACCCACACCAAACGTATATTGGAACAATAACATCCAATTGAGAGATCTTTTGAAGCATATCAAAGTTGAACAAACATTTTTGTCATTGTCAGATAAAATCATGCTCTCGCAAGAAAAGTTAATTCCAGCCAAGGAAAACTAATTCCAACTAAGGAAAAGGAAATTCAATCTTAATTCTCGATTTGTGTCTTTCAGGTATGGGAGGACCCAGGTTGGTCTGGTCCCGGTTTCGAGCCGAGACAGCCCGGTCCTAGCAATATTTTGGAACAACACGGGACCGATCCACTATTTTATGGGTCTGGGCTGGTACCGGTCCTGTACCCAGACCTTTTATATTTTTTATCTAGTTTCAAGCTTTAAAAAATTGGCTGGTCCAGGACCGGAGCCGCCTAATTTGGTCCTCAAATAGGTGAACCGAGATTGGGTACCACTCTTGGGCGGACATGGCTAGTCTCAGGACCGAAACCAGAAATTCCGGACCTGATCTGTTCCAAAACAGTGCCTCACCCGGTCCTAGGCCGGACCAAACCGTCGAACTTGGTCCACCCCTACTTACATGTTCTAGAGCAACTTTGGAGCACTCAAAACTCACCAAGCTAGATCTGCTTGTCACTACTATAGGGACCGATATTGTAGGATTTTTCAAATCCCAAGCTCTTAAGTGTCTTGATATGGTTTACAAATATTAAGATGGACCTTTAGAACAACATTTTTGTGCCCTCTTAAGACCATAAATTTTTTGCAATCCCTTTTTTTGTATAAAAAAATCCTTGTCATGCAAACCAGATGCAATTTTAGATTCTGCACGATTTAAATCCATTGTATATACAACATTTTGATGTGTATTACATAAGTATATATATTACCTCTTAATCCATTTTTTTGGCAAAAGCTCTTAATCCATTATCAATTCAGGACCCGAAAGATAAACGAATTATCAATCCGGGACCTAAAAGATGAAATGCATCGATATAGGACCCGAATGATGAACAATTATCAATTTAGGACCTGAATGATTGAAAACTATCAATCTAGGACCTAAGTTGTCATAAATTTTGTAATTTTTTTTTATTTTGAAAATTTTAAATATTATTTAGTTTTATTAAACTAATAAACTTTTGTGAAGAAAAGTTTTTAAAAAATTAGTAATGGAATTAATAAAAAATTAAACAAATCAAAACCTGTGAAATGTTAGGTCCTAAAATGATAATTTTCCATCATTCGGGTCCTGTATCGATATGTTTCATCTTTCAGGTCCTGAATTGATAGTTAATTTATCTTTCGGGTCCTGAATGGATAAAATTCCTTTTATAAAGGAGGAAATATGAAATTAAAAGTGAATGTTTTGCATTCTTGAGACTTGAGAGATATACCCACTTTGCTATTCATTATTTAAGTTTTGATTGAATCAGAAGTTTCGTTTTGTTTTTTAAACTCCTTTTATAATCTGAATATCTGATGTTAGTGGTAAGAATTCCTGCCTCTCCCTTGTTCTTGGAAGGACAAATACATAGTTTCATTGGTGGAAAAGTTTCAAAAAAAAAAACTAATGATGCATGAACATAGTTGAGAAAACCTAATGATGCATGAGCATGGTTGAGAACAGTTTTGTTATTTAATCAAATGAACGTTCACATCCTGTATAAAATAAATCATTATAGAAATAGACAAAGAAAATTCCAGGTCATATTAATGCATTAAATAGACACAGGAACTCTCAAATAAATTTACAATAACCAATTTTGTTTCATCATAGTAAATATGTTTCACTTTACTACATATCTTCAATTAAATCCTAAAAAGTTGTTCAGAATAATAAACTAATTTCAAATGAAGTAAAAATATAAGAAATTTGGAAAAAATGGTAATAACAGAACCTACCACAATATGATCCACATTTTTATGAGAACAAAATCCCAATTCAGTGAGATCCTTCAGAATAATACACAACCTAAACACCACTTTAAAAAAACGTTAAAAGCAGGTTTAACGTCTGGCTTCCATGGTATGCAAAATTTCCATCACCTACAGGGGAAGAAATTAGAAAATATACATTTAATCAGTTAATATTGTGGTCATGAAAAACTATCATGATTGGTATTAAAGAAGTCAAAACATATTAAACCTTGAAGTTGTAACCCTTAATCTATATGAGCTAACGTATGAAAAATAGAAGTACACCTTAAAAACAGGAGCCTGGAAAGCTATTAGTATTAGCTTTCAAGGTATTCCTAACACATTAGTCAACACACATAAAAAATATATTTTTGGCATCCTACAATTAAATCTTAAAGCTGTAACCTTTAATCTATATGAGCTAACGTATGAAAAACTATAAATTATATTGTTATAAACCTATTTGTGAAAAACATGTAAAGGAGTGTTAATTGATTGGCCATCATCATTCCATAAGATAAATTCCCATTCATTTGGCAGAGTAGGGGTTCAGATTATAGGCGGGGGCAGCACCTTTCATTTTACCAAGGTGAATTTAGCACAAAGAAGGCGAGGATGGGGATTGGGGATAATCTCTACAGGCAACGACAACATACAACAGTGGAAGCAAAACAAAGCAAAAAGAAAGCATCATTTCTTTTATTTAATAAGACCTAAGAAGGAGTGTTTTGGCTCTTACTCTAATTGCACTCCTTGATTCTTTCCAGGTTATAAACCTAGTTGTGAAAAACATACTACGTATAGAGTATTGTTTGATTGACCATCATCGCCACATATATATGATAAATTCCCGTTGAGAAATGGGTTTAGATCATAGTGGGGAGCAGCACCTTTCATTTAACCACATACAACAAAGTGGAAGGCTGGAAGCAAAACTAAGCAAAACAAATTAAAGCATCCTTTCTTTTATTTAATAAGACATAAAAAGTGCGTTTGGGCCCTTACTCTCACTTCACTCGTTGATTCCTTCAACGTTTGAAAACTAAACTGGCATCATAGCAAGAGTTCCTATATCCATATTTTTGTAGTCAACAATACAGGGGAAGCTCCCTGCTTGCCTGATACTTATCTTCAACTTTTAGGTTATCTTACTTGATCAAACTAAATTTTATTTGTTTACATATCAATAAAAAAAAAACTGTATTTGTATCACGTACTTAGCAATATTGTGATGCACAAATAGGTCATCAGGTGCACTTTTTAATTTAGCTCAAACCAAATTAATATTAAATAATTGTGGTAGCATTTTGGGAAATATAATGCTTAACACGAAAAGTGTAACATACGAGTCTTATTGTGCATTAGATTGTGTTAAATGTGAGTGTTTTCACGTTATCACGTTATATGTTTGTGTGTTTTTAAGACATTCAGTTTGTTTATATCAGATTGACTGTAATTCATCATACTTATCATAATACATATGTGCAATTTACATTTGATAATACTTGAGACACGGAGTCTAGAGTTGCATTTGTCAATACATGAAGTTACATTTTCATATGCGCAGTTTATATTTTCAATGTTTCATGTGTGCGAGTTAGGTTTTCATATGCATGGGTTACATTTAGGTATACATTGTGCTCGAATTATATTTAATAATATATTAAATATTATTACATTTACTTATGCATGACTTAGATTTACATTTCGACTTTCCCCAAGTTACATTTTCATTATCGTCATTTACATTTCAACTTGAAATTGATTCAAGTTACATTTCATTTAATATGATTTATATTTCGTCTTAACTCAACAAGTTACATTTTTCATACACGACATTTACACTTATCTGGAGTTAAAAATTGCATACACGCGCTTTATATTTCATATATAACCGTTGGAGGGAGTAAGTTGAATTACATTCCAGTGCACGAGTTACATCTTTCGCTAACTGAGAGCACTTTTTGGTGCAACACGAGTTATATTTCAGTATACTAGATTTACATCACAAAAACATGTATTTTTTACCCGGATTTTTAATTAAAGCTCAAACATAAATGACATCGTTTTAGGTGTGAGAGTATGATGCTAACCATGACCTCTGACATGGTATAACAGCTGACATTTTAATTGCAAACAAACAAATAAAGAATCCATGCTATTAAAACTCTATGACGACATCCGAAAACATTCTAAAAGCTCACCGAAAAATTGTTGAACATTACTTTTGGAATAATACAAAATGGAATGTAAGACAGTCAAAAAGTAACAGATGAAGTATTAATATTCATTCATTTTGACATAACCCAAAAAGAAAAGTAAAACAATCAAAATGAAACAAAGATGATTATTATCCATATTTGTAGCTTCATACGTAGTACATTTGAAGTTGGAGTGTATCATACAATTGATTCTGATTCTACCACGTAAATCCTACAATTGGGTGCATTGTTATAATTTTAATTGAAAATTGTGACTTCTGTCAATTAAGCATCAGTGCACTTAATTGAACATCTTACCTATTATGTTGAGTATTAAGAGTACTTCAACATTGAGCATCATGATCTCTATTCTATATCTTCTAATTAAATTTATTCAACTGTATACATAATCAAACTTCTATGAACTCTAATATGTGAATTTATATTAACATTACACTTTGGAAATATGCATTGATATGAAAATCATGACTCCTACAACGTAAGCATGAAGTTCTACAACTTAAACATGAAGACATTTTTATTGAGTAAAAAATGTCTATCTAAACTCAACAATAAAGAATTTGGGCGTGCTGAAATGGGGAATCCGGTTCTGCGTTGACTAGTTCGGCCACCCGATGTTCATCATCATCCTTGTAAAGCCGCGGCATATCGCGTTTCAAATTCCGGCGGCGCATTGGCTGCATTTGTGCGTTGACTACCTCCTCAGCCGCTAGTCAATGCCCCGGCAAAATCCAGACTTTCACCGACTTGTCCAAACTCCCACTGTACGCTCTCCACAGCCGACCACCCCTCTCCGCCGGCTCATCTTCCTCGACGGCGGCCAAGCACTTGACCGGCCCAGTGTGCCCCGTCAGCACGGTGACACAACTATGGACCCCGCCCCCGCCTTCGAGCTCTCTCCTCCACACGCATATGCTCTGGTCCGCCGACCCGCTCAGCACCAGGTTCCCGGCGACGGCCAGGCAGAGCACGGCGAGTTTGTGGCCCCGAAGAGCGCCGCCGTACGCCACGAAATGCATGTCCCGGTCCCAGAAGTTCACGAGCCCGTCGGAGGACCCGGCGTACACCGCCGTCACCGGGCTCACCGCCAGCGCCGTCACCGCACCTTCTTGATTCAAAAGCGTGTCCACCACCACGTGCCTCGTGATTCTCCCCACCAGCTCCCTCCTCCACGCTTTCACCGTCCCGTCGGCGGAGCCGCTGAAAACGAAACCGTCAAATCCGACGGCGACGGAGTTGACGGCGTCATCGTGTGCCTCGATGGATTCAATGCATTTCCAGTCGCTTAATCTCCACACCTTTACCGTTTTATCCCAAGAACCGGAATAGAGTAAGCCTTGACTCATATCTACACTCATGCATGAAACGGCGTCGTAATGTTTGACACGTGGGACCCTTTTGTGTCTTCTGACCGCCACGTAAGCCTTCGGGTTCATAGCACTCTTCAGATAATCGGTAAGAGTTGGTAAACTACCTATCCGTGTGTAAGTTCTCTTCTCCTCTCGACCAGACACTTTCCAGACCCGAATTTTACCGTCCTGGTGTCCCGTGAAAACCTTCCCTCTCCACACAACAATGGCCTTCACAAACCCGCTTTTCGACTTGAACCCAGAATGCTCCTCGAACCCGTGATTGTTCCAGACCCGGATATTCTTACTCTCCGAACCCGTGTATAAGAGATTACCCGAAGCCGCAAGCGAGTACACGTGCCCGTCCTGCCGGACGAGCGTGGCGATGAGGCCGGAGCTCTCGCCGGCGCAAGGTGATGGCCGGAGAAGCCACGGGGAGTTGGTGTAAGGAGACGCGCTGGCGAGTTCGCTCCAAGGGGAGGAGGGAGTGCTGATGGTTATAGGACTGTTTGTGGCGGCGGTACTGTAGAGCGGCGAGGTATCACCGTTTTCTTCGTGGTGGTCGTCTCTTAAAAGGGCGGGATCGGAGTGAAGGAAGGATCGGAGCTTTTGCCGGCCGGCAGACGTTTCTTTTTCCAGAGTCAGCTGCATAGTTGCAGTATTATTGCTCTTTCTCTTAGCCATGTATATGGCACAAATTTGTAGAAAGTTAATCAATGTGAATGAAATAAAAGAATAACAATGATATAATTATTCGTGAAATGTAAAGTGATGGTCAGAAAATTGAGGAAGAAATAATGCTATGGATTATGGAATACAATGTACTGTATATTTTGTGCATAAAATGGCCAAATAGGAGATATATATAGAGAAAATTAAGGACAGACGGGTTTAGGACTTGAAGAGAAAGGGATATCTAGAACTCTAGAAGGAAGGAGCGTGGGCATGAATGATTGGACGATGATATTAGTAGACGCTTTAACTCTTTAAGATGATGCGTGTCGTACACGAAACCTATTTATGTATATGCTGCTACAAAAAAGGGAAGATCAAGCTTCCTCTTCACAGTTCACACATGGGATTATATATATATTCTGCGCAGACCAATTTTCATGAAAGAGATAGATCGATATTGCATAAAATGTGTGGACTAGGCCAAGCGACCAGCCTAGGTAGTTGACTAACTCATAATTCATTTTCTCTTTTGTCAATGTTGTGTATCCCTCCGAAATCAAATTTTATTAGTGTAATAACTGCATTCAACCATTCATTTATAATTTGCTAGCTTCTCGTGACTATATTGCAAAGTTTGAGAAAAGTTTATGACTAAATAATACAAGTAGAACTAAGTTTTTGAAGGCAAATTGTATGACATATCCTTTAGGTATCATATCGATCCTCTCTATATGAAGTAATTAGAATATCATAATTTAAATATATACAAATGGTGTGGTACTGTTCTCGATCAATCAAATCCTTATAGTATGGTATACCCTCACTTTTATGTGTTATCGTATTATTAACCATTTCAAAAGTTTGTATGACAATAAATCATTTTTACCTTATCAATTCAATATCAAGTTAGCAACCATATAGACTTAACTTTTTTAACAACGCATGCATAATCTTTCCATGTCATAATATTAGTGAGACGGATGTAGTACATAACAATGAGAGCAATGAAACTGCCTATATGAAATACTAACTCTGTATCGAAAAAGTTTGTCATATTGACTTTTCTTGATCAATGATGCAAACTTTGAACAATGATTTTAATTATCATATTTTTATATAATTCAATAAATTATACTTCTATGAAAATATTTTGAATAAGGATCGGAACATTTTGATATAATTTTCGTAATGAAAATAATTTGGTATTAAAAAACATCATTGGTCAAAACTAATTATCATTGATCAAGAAAAGTCAATTTGACGGAACCTTTGTGGGATGAGAGTGTACTATATAGGGGTGTGCACGGGTCGGGTTTGGGCGGGTCGGGTTTGCGAACCCTAAACCCGCTCGGGTTTTTTAATTTAAATACTAGGCCCGACCCTTTGATATTTCAAATCGGGTATTTCGGATATTTTTAAGTCGGATATTATTGGATATCGGGTCGGGTTTCGGATATTTCGGTTATATTAAAAAAAATTATATTTGGATAATTAAAGTGTTTAAATGCCACTTTGACAAAAATTGTACACACTAGTGCAATAAACTTCCAAATTACACAAATAATTTAACACAAATTGCACAAATATTTACACAAATAATTGAACACAAGTATTAATTTAACGTATTCAAAGTACACACTACATAATTTAATATATATATTTCGAATATTTTGGTTATATCAAAACACATTATAATTGAATAGTTAAAGTGTTGGAATGCCACTTTAACAAAAATTGTACACACTAGTTCACTACACATTCAATTTACACAAATAATTTAATACAAATTGCACAGATAATTACACAAATAATTGAACATAAGTATTAATTTAAATATTCCAAGTACACACTAACATATATTTCGGATATTCGGGCGGGTCGGGTTGGGATATCACAAACCCTACCCGCCACCCGGTCTAGGCCCAATACTAATCGGATTTTCGGTTTCGGGTTTTTCGGGTCGGATATCCACTTCGGTTCGGATAATATCCGAAAAAAATATCGGATTTTTCGGGTCGGATCGGGTTTTGCTCAGCCCTAGTACTATATATGGTTTAGCACTACAATAGAAAAGACAGCATGGAAGGGAACCAAAATCGTGACCAACCCTCTCATTTGGTTCATGCAAACATGCAATCGACCATTGACTGTGCTTCCAGCAAGATATACAACGAATCTCTCTCTCGATCAAAAAAGTAAGGGAGTGTTTGCATTTGATTAAAAAAAAAGTGATTTTCACCTTTTGGCTTAAAAAAAGTTAAAAAGAGTGTTTTTAAATGACAGCTTCTTCTTAAATTAATCACTTAAAAGCTAAAAGCTGGAAGGAGGTGGAAGGGTGCTTTAAATTGCTTTTCACTTTTTCTATTACACAAAAAGTACTTCTTTTTTCAAACACTACCAACAGGGGCGTAGCCAGGACACTGGGCTAGACTGAGCCGGTACAAAGAATATTATTGGAAAAAAATTACACGAAATTTTTTACACTAAAAATATTGACATTTTTCAAATTTGGGGTGGGCCAGGGCCTAGCCTGGGCACCCCCTAGCTCCGCCCCTGACTACCAACTTTTACTTTTTCAGAATCACTTTTTTTTCAAACACTACCAATTTTTACTATTAATCACTTTTCCCAAAATCACTTTAAAAAATCACTTCTTTAAAGTTGAAGCAATTACAAACACTCCCTAAGATATAGACGAAGTATTTGGAAATCGAGTTTGACCATTGACCACCGGATCAACAAGTACTACTCGTAGTAGTAGTATAAAATACGGAGTAAAATTAAATACACGCGGATTATAAAGTGTGACATATCATATGCTTTTTCATTTATTTATGTGTTGGTACGAGGTATTCATGCAAAACGTGTTCAAAACAAACTTTACTTGCAATTGCATTCAAATGAAAAATGTGTACTCATACATTATATTTATGTCTTCAAAGAAATATGACCATTTTTTTTCTAATCTGTTTCCAAAAAATTTATGAAGTCGTATGATTTCCCTATAAAATCATAAGGGCTTTGGTGTCTTCATAATATAAATACTTCATACGTTCTTTTTTAAATGCAACGGTCCACTTTTCACGTTTGCCAACGCACATGTTTGACCATTAATATCTTTCATTCCTTATTAGTACAAAAATTAAAAAAAAATAGATTTTGAAAATTTGAAATGAGAAGAATTTAACCATATTTTTTTAAAATTTAATTTATAATACATTAATAAATAAAATAGAGTCAAAGTAGAACACATAAATAGTGGAAAAAGTCCAATGTTGCATTCAAAAAAGAACGGAGGGAGTAGCTTGCACCATATTTTATTGTCAAAATTGGTGCATCAAAATGATTTCCCAATTCATCTATTTAATGAATTTAAAAATGGTGATTCCCCTGTAAAATCAAATGTTTATGGTGAAGCCACACAAACCATATGACTCCATAGTGGAGTCATACATGACTTCATATAATTACTCGTAGACTTGTTTGCTGTTTTTTGGTGGAGGCCGGATTTTTTACGACTTTAGATGGGAGGATAAGTACCGTATTCAATTTTTACGTATTTGATCTTTAGTTATATTCCTTCCGTCTCATTTTACGTGTCTTACTTTTCTTTTTAGATTGTATCAAAATAAGTGTGATTTTTCCTTTTTGAGAAAGAAATATGTGATTCACACCATTTCACTTTATTATACTCAAATCTCAATCGCATTTTTTACTTTTTCAACTACTCTATTAATAATTGTTCCAAATCAAAGCAGCACACATAAAATGGGACGTAGGTAGTACCATTTAATTTGGTATATACATTTAAAGGAGCATGCTACTTGTACACTTTTTTGTACACACTGTCTAGTTGTCTATGTACACGAGAGTTTCTGAATGAACTCTCATGTTTACATAGGCAACTATGTAAATCCTCCAATTAAACCCTCCAATTGTACGGGGTATGTACAATAAAGTGTACAAATCATATTTTCCACATTTAAATCTCATTTGTTTTTAATCATTTTAATTAAACCCTCCAATCCAATAAAATTGAATTCCAAAACATTTTTAAATAATGTCAATTTAGAACTAGCTATGTTGGGTACGTTGTAGGCAATGTTGAAATGTAATGAGCACAATCCACGTATTGAGTCAAGACATTTGATTTGGGGTTTGATTTTGATTTTTGAGTTGTAAAGAGATTGGCGGTTAGTAATGCATGTGTTGATGATTTATGCACAAGGAACCGCTAGAACAATCAATTTCATCTAAAAACAATTTCAATTTTTCTTAATGTAACTTTAATTGCATAAAAATTCAAATCATGAACTTTAAAAATGATAAAAAATATTCAAATAAAAATTCAAATCATGAATTATCTTTGTAAACCGGTTTCTTGTCTAATTGCTCTCTTTGATAATCTATATCATCATACCCATCTTGTAATAGTCAAGTTCTCGAGTTTGATTTGATTACTAGCCATTGATAGATTAATACCCATCTTGTAATCATCATTAAATAAAGATATAGAGATAATGACTTCTGTTACTTGTATGATAAACATGCTGACTTTTTTTGCTGTATTTTTCTTGAAAACAGATGGCCAAAGAATTAACATCCCATTTCGGTATCACTGTGGCTGGTAATGCCGGCAAAAATGTCAACGGTGCACCGTTGAGAACTACGTACCTAACTAAAACAACGTTTCTTTCCGTCAAATTGATTTGTAGCCGCCACCAATTATAGCCTATTCCGGCTCCCTCCCCGCCTATTTGGGGTGTTTGGATATGATTTTCAAAATTGATTCTGCTCCTTCAGGTAGCAGAAGCAGAAGCTGGAGTGTTTGGGTGAAATTCCAGAAACACTTCTAAAACTCTAATTTACTCTCAGAATCAGTTTTTTTAGAAGCGGGGAGGTACCAACTTTTGAAAACTGATTCTGATTCTGTTTCTGCTTTTAAAAAAGAAGCAGAAGCAGAATCAGTTCCAAACACCCCCTTACTTACCGCAAGATATATAGTCAAATTGGTCGTAATGTCTGATCTGTCCGGCCATTACTAGCTAGCTGAGTCCCTAAATTATAATCCCATTGTTGTCATTTTAATTTGAAGTAATTTGAGTTTGAACCATATTTTATTGTCAAAATTGGATTTTGCACCCCGTCTTTAAAATTCTTGTATTTGCACATCAAGTTCAAGTGAAAAGACAAAAATGTTCATTCATCAACAATTCTATCGACCTTCAACATATTCTTGATTGAA